AGAGAGAGAGAGAGACAGAAAGTACAATATTTATTAATAAAAAAAAAGAATTTCAATATTTTATAAATAAATATTATCATTATTATAGAATTTTTATTATATATAAATCTATAAAGTACATAATAGTAAAACATAAATATCTTCGTAGTATGAAACATATATGACAAATTAAGAAAAAATTATCTAAACGATGTCCAAATTACTCTTACTTGAGGAACTTTAGGAGTTTAAACAATTTTTCATTGATCTATTATATGCTTCAGGCTACGAAGAAATATTATATTTTACTACTTTATTATTTCTTTTATAGATTTCTAGATACCTAAGACTAGATAGGATACAAAAGTGAGTGAATGAGAAAGTGTATATGTGTGTGTGTGTGTGTGTGTGTGTGTGTATGCATAGGCAGAAAAGTGAATTAGTTTGCAATTTTTCTGATAGATTTTTCGATTACAATGTAAATTTAATACATGTAGGGTGAAGTGTTATAACATATTGATTTTATATTGATTATATCGTAATTCTGGTACGATAATGTAATAGACATTCTTTGTAACCCCATAGGGAAACAATAAAATTTATTAATATATTTTTTTTTAAGTTATTGTTACATTTTTCAGTTTTGCATTGGAGGAAAGTCTACGGAAAATTGCCTAACGTGTTTCATTTGAAAGGTCTCTATAAATAGATCGAAGTTTTCAATGGGCACAAAGTTGTTAGATGCGTCCTTCACAAGTTATAGATCACGAAAGTTGTAAATAAAAAGTTATCAGATCCATTCGCGCGCGCGCGTCACCGAGAGCCACTTCCTAGTAGTGATCTGGAGCAATGAGCTAAAGTACCGCAATGTAAACTAACGTGATCTACGTTTTAGTAATTAAGAAAAGATCGGTGCCGAGGCAATAGTTAGGATATTATTGTCAAAATGGTCAGAGAACTGTAGGGTGCTGTACACATATCATAACAGTTCTCTAGTTTCTCGAATATAGCAAGTTCCAGTCCGAGATCCAAACATGTACCCTCAAAACCGCTCAGCGATCTCTGCATGATACTTGAAAGCTCTGACGAAAGACCCGACTTGATTTTATTTTTTATTTTTATTTTTTATACATAGTCTATATGCTGGAGTATGATAATATTAAATTTATCTTATTGAATGCTCTGCAACGATATATTACATTAATATATTTGCATATGTTGCAAGGGAATTATTTAAATGACCATCTCTTTGAACTTTCGTGACTTGTAAACTCGTGAAGGACACACCTGATAACTTTGAACCCATTGAAAACTTTATTCTACTCATCGAGACTTTTCGAATGACACTTGTTTCGATCTGTAACGTGTTAAGCAATTTTTTGGCATCCTTCTTTGTATTATAATTCGCGAAATGATGCAAAATATGGATTTGTAATGTACAGGGTAATCAGGATTGTATTGAAATTAAACGGTTATTATTATACTTAATATTTTTTAAAAATATTTATAAATATTTTTTTTAAATATTATTAACGTAAATAAAGATAATCTTATTATAAAATTTTGGTATAACACATTCTTTTATATCTTAAATAATTTTTGAGATGTAATGAAAAAAGCTAAAAACTATTTTACCTGTAAAAAGTGATATTATTCTAAAACTATTTTTCCACATCAATTAATTATTATTTTCTAAATTCATCTATTTACATAATTTATATATATATATATATAAGTTTCATTAAAATCATACAAAGATTCGTAAAATCAGAATTTGACGCAAGGTTTCTCTTATATTTAATTATTAGGTGTACAAAAAAGTTCTGAGCTTTTTTTTGTAAAATTCAATCTTTATTTAAAAACAAACGAAAAAATAGGCTTGCTGCGTAACGCCAAGCTGTTCTGCAAGCTCCTTTTCAGTTTGCGCAGAGTTTATATCCAGCAGTGCTTGCAATTCGTCCGTTTCAATCTTTTCAGGGCGTCCAGCACGCGATTCATCTTTAAGACTGAAATCTCCTTGGCGAAACTTTTGATACCACCTTTTGCATGTTGCAT